CCCCGGGTGCCAGCAGCCCCACCACTGGGGACGGTGACTCCGACCCAGCAGGGACCCCGGCCATGGGCCCCCTGGGAATAATGTGAAATAATTCCCTTCCACTCCCAATTTCCTCGAGGAAGTTCTGCGAATAGGGACGAGGACCTGCCAGGGATGTGAAGCACGGCACCAGCCCCCTGCAGCTGGAGGGAGCCCACGGGGGGCACGGAAAGTCCCCCCCTGCCTTTGAGAGTCCAACCCAGCCATGAAATGAACCACAGCACCCCCGACTCATGGGAGGTATCTGAGTTACTGCACTGGCTCTAGAGAGCACCCAACACGGCAGAGCTCAGCCTGGGACGGGAGGGATACAGAGGGACAGAGAGAGGGGGTGTGTGGCCCCCGTCCCCGCAGCCCCGTCACCATCCATCGCCCCGGCGGGCACTCGGCCACTCCACACACACCTCAGAGCAGCGTCTGACCATCTTCACAGCCCTGATCCACGTCTGACGATTAAATAACTCAGCCAGCAGAGGGAAAAAAAATACTTGCAAAAATAGCTGGAAGATATACAGGCAGTAATGAAAACCATCAGAAAATAGATATCAAGTAATGACACCACAATGAGAGCTTATTAATAGCGAAGTCTAAAGATAAAACTAATTTAAACCTGATGAGACAGGACATCTCATCTTCAGGAGAAGGAGAAGTCAATAGCTAGCTGTCAGGAAAGGAAATAAATTGCTCACCAGGGAGGAGGGAAAGCCGCAGGACTCCCAAGCCCCAGAGAGCAGCAGTTACTGTGACAGCCCGTGAGATACTCACTGAATTCACAAAACCCTGAAAAATGGGAGCTGCCATTCACCATCAGCATCTCCGGTGTCGACATTCGGCTCAGAGCCCCGCGCCGCTGCAGGGAGGCACATTGCTCTGGGGAGGGGCGGCAACGCCAGCCCGGGGGCTGCTGCAGGTTCCAGAGAGGAGCAAATGGGGACAGAACTCATTTTAGAAATGGAAACCATTTTTAAAAGTTCTTTATGTTGCATGAAACCCCTGAGCTTTATGCAAAGAGCATCCCCTCCAGCAACGGGGATGGAAAGCCACCGAAGGAAAACCCCCCATGGACCCCCAGCGGTGCCAGGGGAGGGAGGAGGAGTCGGCGGCCCGGGGAGAGGGGCTGGCGAGCACATGAAGCCTGTCTGCTAAGTGAAAACCCACTAGAAAAGGGAAGGAAAGCGTCCAG